TATATATATTTCCTGAATAAAATTTTGTGTCCTACACATGGGTATAGCTCAGCATTTGTATGAAAAATAATTACAGTACCCAAATAGGAACATGTTCTTCTTTCACCTCTTAATTTTATCTATACTTTTATATATTTACCTTTCATTATGTCACGATTATATATATACATAATTTTTTATGGCCTACATTTATTTCTTTAATTCAATTCTTAGTATACTTTTAATCAATTATTTTTAATCGCCCCTTCATTTTTCTTGGTTTCAATCATAGCCCTACGTTTCGCCATTCTATTACCATTAGCTAATCCCATAACGATCGTTATGCTTTCCCACGGTCCACCACTTGATCAATCATTGTTCTGCCTTATTGTTTTAAATTTGTACATATATCATTAAGCCTTTATAGTTTGCCGACTATTACCATTTAACTCTCTAAGAATGTTCATTCTATGTCAAGCGTTGACAAACTACAGGAGTACAGTAGCCGAAACCTTCGCATCAATAAATTTTTGTGTTTCTAAGGTCAACATCTTTGAGTTTCATTGCCGTTGCACTGTCAAAAATACTTTTTTGAAATAGCGATCCTTGATAAATTACTGGTTTCATCCCTGACAGGGCCTACATCATATTACATTATTAATTATAATGACCAGTGGCGGATCCAGGACTTTGAAATAGAGGGTCCCAGGGAGAGGGTTTCACAGATAGACCACCTCAATGACCCTCACCATGGTTGGGGCCGAGGTATGAAAATGTATGATTATGACATCTCTAGATAGCCAGAAATGGTTATACTTATAATTATTGATAAAAGTTGATTATAATTTTCCATTTTTCTCCATTTTTTTCATATTAAGAAAAAAAATCAGTGGGGTGGGAAAACCGGTTCCCCCCACCCCCGCCCAACTTGATGACATCAGCACTTTGGAGACTAACTATAAATTTATTAGCTCAAATAGTCCCAAAAGTGTTTTATAGCAGACTAACATGTCTACACCTTTTATTCATCATGATTATTAATTATGAATATGTTAATACTTTTATGTATTTTATTTTCTTTTCTAAGTTGACAAAATGATACCAACAAAATTTTACTTGAGGAAGATTATAAAAACAACCTATAACTTTTTTAAGATAACCCAGCAAATACAGTATAATGTTTTACTTGGCAATAATTTAGATAACATTAAACTTTTCTTGATGTTGCTTTTCTTATAAAACTGATGATTCTATACAGTGGCTGATTATGGAACCAATTTGTAAATCTCTCTCTTCTTGATGGCTGTACCCACATTCCTTTTTTCTTTCTTTCTGCATACAACTCAGCTTGTAAAAGTCTCTGTGTAAGCTTTATTGTGAATTTATTACCAGTGCGATCGATGACTGGTACTACCTTTCCATAACCATGAAACAGAATCTCTTCATTTAGGTTCCATATCTTGAACATTGACTGAAAAAATTAATAATTATATTATAAATATATTTTGGTTTCAGACATACATACAAAATGTACTTTTACTTTATTTATTTAGGCGCATGGGCCACAAACTGCTAAAACTGTAGTGGAATTATTCTATCTCTTCGTCCAAGGTTCGGTTGGTAGAACCAGGGAACAGTTCACAATTCTTGGATAAGGACCTAAAATGGAGGTCCAGTGTACCAACACATCTGGCTCGTGTGCACTTTAAAGAACCCGTTCCATCTTTTGGAAGAGTAAGGGGTTACCCCGATGCCATGATTCACTTGAGTCCCTGTCGTTGTGGAATAATGAGTTATGGGTTACAGTATTCTCCTACTGTTACCTTTATAAGCAGCAATCCATTTCACAAGACAAACATATACACATGATGCTCTAAATAAATTTTTAATCTCATTATGAGTCTGACAGGGTTGTGTTGGTTTTGGTCCATGGGATTGAAAGGCAAGTATCATAGGTCCCACAGCCCTCAGATCATAGGCACACACCCAGCTGTCAGACCAGGGAAAACAAAATCTGGATCCACTGCCACAGTCCTCCTAAAGATACATTGTGTCTTGAGCTAATGAGCTTGATCAATAATCTCAAGATTATTCACAAGAAGAATATCTAAAATAAACTACAGTATCACCTTTCTCAGAGATATGATGCAGTCAATTCCATCCTGACCTTTCACCTGGATTAACCTAAACCAAACTTGTTTATTAAGAGAATGCTCTTCTAAGAATTGAGCACCCTCTCTGGTGTACTCAACACCAGCTAGATGAAGCTTCAGAGGTTTTGGAACTGAAAAAGAAAAGATAGCTTTGTCAATTTAATACCATCAAAAATAATTGTATTTGATGAGGGAGTTGTTAAGTAACAACTCCCTGATTTGATGAATATCAGGAAAACAAAATTGTTTATTCAAAAGTAAGACTAAAATATTTTTTTATGTCACTCGGTGAACATAATACTCACATCACTGGCTAGTGACTCAGTCTGTTGAGGAAGTCCACAAAATAAAAGACTAAATTTCAGAAATAATGAGCGTATCAACATTATTAAAAAGAGTAATGATTATATTCACCTGTTGACCTTTTTATGGATATGATTGGTTTGTGTTCAACCAATAGATGATCATCATGAACTGACCTCACTTGACCTCTTAGTTTAAAATGCTTCTGAATGAACTCATCAGGAATTTGAGAAAAACATGTAAAACGCTTGTGCTGTTTAAATAAAACAAAATATTTTATTACTTAAATTCATGATTTTAAGAAAATTAGAATGGTCACACAGTACTTACTATTCTTATGCTGTACAGTATGAAACATAATCCAATTCCTCCGCACAAACTGATTGCATTCTGAAACACAATAACAAAATACTGTAATATATGGAAAGGTAAAGTTTCGAAACCTGAAGCAGGAGTCTTCTTTTGAACTGTACAATATGGCCTGCACTGGGAATATATTGCAAATATAAACCTAGAAATACACATCCACAAAATTTAGCCAAATTAATACTACATTTTCATTTGCTGGATCCCCTAACTGGTACTTTATTGAGAAGATAGTTTGCCATGACATTTGATGGGTCTTATAAGCTTTTCATCGACCCATTATTATCAAGCAATTAGTTACGATACTACGCCTATTTTCCTCTAGCAATTTTCCATACAAATCTGAGTTAACTTTCGTTCCCAAAATAAAATACTTTACAGTGTTCTTAAAATTATTTTTACATTGAAGCAACAGCATAACATCTCATTCAGAATCAACCTGCATGAATCATCATCACACAAAACCGAAAATGTGAGAGCGATAAATTTTCTAGTTTTCCCAGCTTGATGTTTAATTATTTAATATTATAGTATTATATTAGACCATAGGAAAGACTTAGAACTAAAAAAACAAAATATTTTTGTAGGTATTAATAAATTACTGCATCTAAAAAATTCATCGTCTCTGAACCTCTCTATCTGCAGCTGTGAACTGAAATGGCCGCTGAATGAACCAGGCTACTACTACTACTACTACACTCTAGGCCTATCCCAGCCCAGGGTTTCGTTCAGTTATTCGGCCTAGAGAGTTGATTATAACAACTCCCTGCCCTGTTCTCCGCCGAAAGATAACATCGCAGACCTAGCTTAGTCTTCTTTCTACTTATTACATACTTTTCTGCGCATTCATTTGGAAAAGCGCGGTCGTAATAAATATGTATCAAAGAGTGTAAAAAGTATTCTCACGTTTATATTTCTAATATTTTTGTCAATAAAACGTGACACCTTATTGAGTAAATCGTTGCCATCACTATCCTCATCCATCCCTTTATATCATCAGGCCATGCGCCAGCAGCGATGTAGTGTACTGATATTTATTTTGGTAGTGTGATTCCAGTCGTTTACTGGCATGTACACAAGAAAAAATGCAGACCATCAGCATGACAAATTTAGAGAGACACTTGGTCTGACGTCTATACTTATAAATATTCATCATTAATAAATTCAACGAAGTGTAAGTAATGGCGGAGTGGGTCGTCGCTAAGGTAAACGATAGGATTGTTGTGTTTGGAATTAAACAATCTAGTAATTCGATACAAACTTTAGAATAATTACATTAAAACTGATGACCTGTAAGTAGACTTCAATTTCTTTAATAAATTCTAACTTGTTTTCTGATGCATGGGTGTTTTGTTTTGACAATTTTTTTTATCAAGACAGGGAAGTAAAGAAAGACGGTTGAGAAAGGAGGTACGGTTTGACGAGAGCGCTTGAGCCTTGGAGGAGGAGAATAGCGCCTACTCCTAGCCCCCGTCATACCCCTACACAGGGTACTAGGCCTACTACTAGTACTAGGCCTAGTTACAGGCCTAACAACTACGACTACGAGGTACTACTAAACTAGGGCACTAGGCCTAGTCCTGGCTAGGCTAGGCCAAGAAGGTTAGCTTTTATTACCATCCACTAGCATAGGGTATAGGCCTAGGCCTAATTATGAAAAGTTGTTTTTTCATAAGGTTTGATTGATTTAGGCCTAGCCTAGGGCCAGGCTAGGCCTTAATAAAATAGGCTGGGCTAGGTAGGCCCTATGATTAATAATTTATAAAAAATATTTTTAATGCAATACAGTGACTATTGATACACCAGTCTTAAAATTAAATGAAACTTATTAGGCCCTAGGCCTAGGGTGCAGGTCAACACAGCCACAAGTCAACTCGGTCACAGTCAACTTGGCCACAAGTCAACTTGGCCACAAATCAACTCGGCCACAAAAAGTTCAGCTACAGCCAACTCGGCCACAAGTCAACTCGGCCACAAGTTATTTAATGTAAATCTCAGTTTTGCATCCTTTTTCTTCAATATATTATGATTGAAATAAAGTACACGGTATATTTTATTAAAACAGGACCACCACACTACCAAAAGAGATTTGAATGCTATTGCCTATGAATTAAAAAGAGTTATTTATTAATGTTCGTCTTCTGTTTACTCACAACATTCTACTTCAACAATAATATTAAACAACAATAACGACAATAAATTTAATTAGTAATATTTACTTTAATAATACTACAATAATAAATTAAAGATAATGTTTATTTTTATAATAATAGTAATACTAATTAGTAATAATAATAATAATAATAATGATACTTATAATACTAGGCCTACTTAGTAATAATAGGGTAATAATAACAATAATAAAGGTGACAACAACAACAATAATATTAATGATAGTAATAATAATAATATGAGAAACATACCAATAAAACACCAATAACAATAACTTTTTAAATTACTATTATTAAAATAATAATACTAAGACTAATAAATAATAATAATAATAATAATAAAAAATCGAAAATTATTTATTATTCATATGGTACTGTAATAATAATAATAATAATATCAGCAAAAATTTGAACAATATATAATGTTAATGCTAAGATTAATAATTAATATTAAAACTAACGGTAATACCGTAATAACAACAATAATATTAACAACAATGAAAACAATAATAACAGCAATAATAATAACAATAAATATAGTAATATTTAAAGAATTTTAGTATTTTATACTTGATGATTTACTCCTTCTAGTACCAGTAAATGACTTGTGGCTGAGTTGACTGTAGCCAAACTTTTTGTGGCCGAGTTGACTCCGAGTTGGATCGAATTCTAGCCCTAGGCTGAGCTAGCCTAGTAGGGCCAGGCCTAGGTTATGGTTATGCCAAGAAGTAAGAAGGCCAATACAGACAACGTCATACGAGACAGGCCTAGCCTAGGCCTAGTTGGAGGAAGCTAGGCCTAGTTGCCCAGACTGTAGCCTAGGGCCTCAAACTACAACCACAAGTAGGGCCACTTGTAAGGCCTGTGCGGGCCGGGGCCTATCGTCTGCGCAAAATTTTGGTCTGGGGCCTAGGCTAGGCCTAAAAACCTTTAACGCTAAAACGGTTTCGCATCCAGCCATGAAAACGATTACCAAATTATTTAAAACTTACAATTATTCAACACTAACATGTGTTTTGATGCTTTGACCTTCATATAAGCCTCTTATTATTCCATAATTATGGTTTCTGATTAAGAATTAATTAACCAATATTTAGGACGGTATATCAATAGTAACACCCTTTTGGGCATTTCAGAAAATAAGGGCCGATTTCTGTGCAGATTTTGCCAAAAATTAGGCTTTGACTTAATCTTATTATATTATACAAATTACAATTATTATACAATAAATCTTGTTGGGCTGTGCCATACAACACTGTCCGAGTTGGTGTTCAGTAATTCATTTTAGAACTGGTGTAGCAATAGCCACTGCCCATTTTTTATAACAAAATTATGTATTCTAGGGCCAGGTTCCTTACTGTGATTTTCTGCTTTAATTTATACTTTTATGAGTGTAAATCTATTATTAATTTTTTGTGCAATTTCATTCATAGAATAATATTAATTGAAAAAGATGCCTCACAAGCTAGCTTTTCATGTGCTACACACATCCAGCATTGAGACAGGGTTCAGTCTGAAAGAATTGGAAGTGCACAGCCCACTGGTGAAGGGCTGGCAATCAAGCCGCTTCTGCACCTACCCCCAAGAAATCATCCTACGCTTACCAAACAAGGTTCAGGTTGTTAAGCTTCAAATACTAGCTCATCAGTTTTTAATACGTAAGTATATATGAGTGTTGTGCTTGTTTCTTGTTAATTATTGACAATGCTCATTCTACTGTACTAGCCTCCACCCTTTGATATTACTGCTAAAGCTACGTTCGGAGTCCGGATAAAAAAATCGTGAAAAATGGGTTCAGTAGTAAAGAATTTCTACTATTTTTAATCCGGACTCCGGATCCGGACTGATGGATCTGAGAACCATTTGTATCATGAAATCGTACATTTTTTTTTCTTGGACCAATCAGCAACAAGCTTGGTTGGTTCGAACCAATAGAATGCATACGTACTAACCTGAACAACCGTGTTCCATGCGCGATGTGAACGCAGAGTTAAAAAAAATGTAGCAACTCACGATTTTTTGTCCGGGCTTGATGTGAACATAGCTTAGATCGTACCAAATTCTCTAACTTGAACATTTGTGAGATATCTATATTCCTGACTTAGTCTAATAAATGGAATTAGAATTAACAAGTTTTGATTGGCTGTTAAAATTTGGGAACTGTACATTATAATATTACTATTTTTAATTTCATACCCTTTATATTTATATAAATCATTATTGTTTTATAATTTTAAAATTAATAACATTGATATTCATAACACTCTACAGTTCTTTCTCCATCTTAATTTCAATAATATCATGGTTTATGTTATGTCATTTTTTTATATTTTATACCATTGTTTTGTAATAAATGATTGTAACACATAATCATGTTGATATTTAAAACACTTTACACTTCTTTACATGTGGTGTAGGGTTAGATATATTCAATAAATCAACTATCTCATCACTATTATTTTTATTAATGGCATTTTCTGTATTTACTTCTAGCAACTAAAATTGAGTTTTATGTAGGAGATATCCCAACTCATCGCCTCGAGTCTTTACATGGAGCAAGGTATAAGCGTTTAGGGTAAGTTTTTCAATTTATTTATTTTAACAATGAAAAGATAATTTTACAAAGAAAAAAAAATAATATTCAAACACACACTCTGTACAAAAGTTATTCATTATTGAAATAACTTGTATCTCACTTTTTTTGGCTCTATTGTTTTACTAGCCTGAGTGAGTGTTGTAGTACGTATGCGTTTCTTCATAATTAATTATATTTTCACTGTTAATGAACATAAATTGATAAATTGTAAGCATAGACAGTTACCATGGAAACACTGCTCATTCTGAATTTTATTACCTCTGTACACCTTATTGTACCGTACTGAAATCGTGTTTATGGTCAGCTTGAGAATTATTACTAGCGTTTGAAGGAATTGAATTAATGAGACTAAAGCTTCACTTTGAACCAAATTCTATGCATGTTTACAGTATACTCGGAAAATGATTTTGTAATTGTGCCACGCCAACGTGGAATTGCCCAATAATAATAACATAAAAAAGTCTATCACTATTTTAATATTAGTTTAATAGCAGTAAATAATGATGATAACGATGCTAAAAATATACAAATTTAAGCAAAAATATTGATTATAATAATAAAATTTCCAAAAAAAATTATGGTTTTCACACTATTCTTTATTCTTGTTTTATTATTATATTAAATTTTTTTTTCTTACTTTTTTCTGTAGATATGTGACCATGTCGGACAATGAGAAGACAGGGTTCAAAGCCCGAGAGTTGAAATCCGTGCACGTGAATGCGATTGGTCAGTACCTGAAGATCGTCATTCACAAAAACTTTGTCAACAAATACAATCTATACAATCAGGTAGGTACTAGGTCCTAGATGATTTTTTTAAAATCATGGATAAGTGATTTGGTATACCTGAGTGTTTAAGACACTAATCTTCCAATCCTGGTATTCTGGTATTAAATCTTGTAAACACCTATGGTGTAGACAAACAGGATTTGTTCTCATTATACTAAAAACAACTTGGCATTTCTTGTCATATATTTTGAACTAAAACTTCAACTAGTTGCAACTTAATCTTCAGTTTACCTTAACAAACACTACAATATATGAAGATGAAGATCTAAACTAGAATAAATCATGACCTAGCAATGTCTCAAATTAACCAATCACAAGAGACCATTTTAATAGCCTGTGAAATTTTAGAAATTCAGTAAACATGGATAAGTATCAAGATTCTGTCTGTCAAACATACCTCTCCACACTAGGGGTGGGCATCAAAATGAGTTGGAGGACCAATGATTTTTTTTGTTTTAATACTGCAGGCCGCACTTTGCCCACCTGTACACTAGACCATCAATCACGTAATTTAATTCCCTCTAGAACCATATTAGTTTACATATTATAACACTGGAGATTTTGAACAGTTTATAACAGATACTGAGCTTCCTTGAGGATATGCAGCTGAGTGTTGTACTTGCTTCAATATTTTCCAATAAAGAGAGGACTGACAATGGCATTTGTAAATTGTAGTATACCATAATTTTAAATTAAAGTAATTTCAATGTTGTTTAATGCTGCATTACTTAAGGTTGGAATTGTTGCAGTTAATGTGATTGGGGAGGAGTTAGGAGAAGATGGTCGTCCCAAGAATTCAGATGCTCAGTTAATGGGCGGTAAAGAAGATGGTGATGGTGTCGACCCCTTGGTGCTTGGGGCATTCACCAGGTAAGTGCTGATGCTGATGTCAATCAATCAATCTCCGTTTACTGTGTACTTTATTGGCTCGTTGTTGGGTCACCAGGAAAGTGCCGTTATTGTGTGTGTTATCATTTGTAGGTTTACATAATATTTTTCATATTTGTGTAAATATCTGTCAGGTTTTTTACTACATTTTGTCTATATATTTGATAAATCAGATATATTTCCACATCTTCTTTTCATTTGGATGTTTGTCAGATATTTTACTGCATTACACATTTCATAGTATAAAAGTCTGCCAGACTTTTTAATCACATCTTCACGATAATAGATATAGGCTTTTACTGCATCTTCTCTTTATTTCAGACCTGATTACATTTCCCCATTAGATGACCTTGCCTTTGACATGTATCAGGACCAAGAGGTCGCCCAGATAATAAGAAAACTTGACATCCGCAAGAATGAGGCTGTGATACGTAAGCTAAAATGCACATGTTTTCAGTGTTTGTTATCAGTATATTGTCAGGATTCATTACTAGAGCCCATTCCCTATCCACAACTTGTCTTAATTGTGTATGCATTACCATTTAAAGTGAACCTACATTGTAGTTTGCCTGGATAGAGAATTAAAAAATGGCTCCCTTTTCATATAGAGGTCTAAGTACACATTATATAAAATCTATTTACAGTGGGATATACAGTATTGATAATGTGTCGATTAATTTAATTATTATTATGTACTGTTAATGTTATTCTTGTATTTTTAGAAGAGAAATACGACATTGCTAAACGACTTAAGCAAGCTATAGCAGATTTACAGAAGGTAATTAACAAATTTTGTTGTCCTGATGGTGTAAATGTTTGTACACCTTGCTAGAATTTTGCCCATGTGGATGTTTCGTTTGGATATAACAACTGGGTTACCTTGTATGTACTTTGATACTTTCTTTAGATTTTAAAAGGATGAGAATAAATTCTGATCATGTTGAATAAAACCCATAGAGAAATGAAGAAAAATCCTTAAGATTATTATTATTACTTTCTCAGGTTGGGGAACGACTTGGTCGGTTTGAGGTCGAGAAACGCCGTGCAATAGAAACTGAGGATTATGACTTGGCCAAGATAAAGAAAGCTGCGATGGAGGATTATCGATTGGAAATCTATAAACAACTCGCTGTCCATGACTTATTGGAGTTCTCAAAGGTATTATGAGCTCCTGTTTTCACACATACTTTCACACAGACTTTCTGACCATCAGATACCACAGTTCAATATTGTTCTAAATAAATAAAAACATTTAATTTTAGTTGTACTGATGTGTAACTCCTTTTAGACAAACCCTTGCATTCCATCCATCAAATTTTGTAAAACCTTATATTTATCTCTTATTTTAATTATCCTTTGTGCTTTACTTTTGCTTTTTTGATGGACCTTGTTTTGATTCACTATAAATAGTACAGTTTCATTATTTAGGTTTAAAAAGCATTCATTTCACTCTTGCTCTAGATGATCCATAAATGCTTTTAGGATGGGCACATATTAGAAGAAGGGTATTAATTTGACAGTGGGTGCTTATTATATATTGAAAATTTAGCAAGAAAACTTATTTATTTTACCCATCAATCATTTGCTAATTTCAGCGTTCATGGTATTGGTAGGCCTACTCTTTCATTACCTAATAATAATAATAATAATAATAAAAATAATAATAATAATAATACAGTAGTAGTCTTACTAGCTTTATAGGGAATCATGCCAACAAGTCCTCTAGGCCTGTCACACTATGCTGGTCAGTGGATCAAATACTGCTGCTTGTATAATAATGAAAATACATTATAAAATATAATTAAAAATATAAATTATATAATACACAGTAAAAATATATATATATATATATATATATATATATATATATATAAAATAAGAAGTCAAACAAAGTTCTGTATCTGTCTCAAAAATAAAATATTTATTGTACTAGTATATATATATATATATATATAGTTGATAGAAATGTCAGTTTGAATACATTGTAAAATATTAATAAATGTAAATGAATTATAAATTATATAATAAAAATGTTCATAATATTGATAGAAATATTATCAATGTGAATACATTATAAAATATATAATATAAATTAATTCTAAATTATATAATAATAATTTATATTGTTATTTATATTGTTGATAGACACATCATTGTCCTTTTTTTTATGTTTGATACATCCAACCATTTTCCCATTCACTATCATTGTAGCTTTCACTTTTACATGGGATTTCTTTATCTTCCAGCAATTAATATGGCCTCCAAGATATGTAAGTCGTGGGCATGATTTTTTCCCAGCATGCACTTGTATTTATTCACACATCTCAAAATGTATTAATAATTTGCTTACCATGGTTGAAAGCTAACAAAATAAGCATCAAAATTTCAAATATTTTGCTGTTTTTTCACCCACGCATGATGCACACAATCGTCTCCCTGCCCTAAATAACTAGTTTTACTGCCGACCATCATTCACCACATATATTTGTGTTGATACAATGGTAAGCACAGGGCTAAATCTCATTTATGAGGTATCAGAGTTAATAATTAAAGACAGGAGAATTTTGAATGATCAGAGAAGTATTTTGAACTCATCTTTGGTTTAAAAAAAACTTGTTATTGTTAATGGTAAATAAGTATACATTAGTTTAGAACTGTTAATTATAAATTTTATATTGATTCTGTTTGGCATCTTGACATGCAAACTAACTTTTACCATTGGGAGTAATGGCTGTTTCTTGTTTTTCTAATCTTTGGTTTTCAATTTTGTCAGGCATTTTTTTTAAATATATTAGTTTCTTTCTTAACCAAGTATTTTAATAGGGTTTATATTTAACAAGTTTTAACTATAGCATAAGTATTTAATAATAGCATACATTCTATTAACTGTCCAAGTAAATGTAAATTTGATTTAATATATTTGTTTCTTTCTTAACCAAGTATTTTAAAAGGGTTTATTATTTAACATGTTTTAACTATAGCATAAGTATTTAATAATAGCATACATTTTATTAACTGTCCAAGTAAATTTGATTTGTGCAAACATAATTACTTAAACAGTATTTTGTATTCCATTTCTGAAGAATTCAATCATATGTAGTGTTGAAATGCTGCAGTAACCTCACAACCATTTCCTGAAAGCATTTCTCTATCCTCCGTACAATATAAGGCTGTGCCATCACCCCAACCAGAAACTTTCACCTACCCCCTCATTCTAACCACTATCCTGCTACATTTTTTACATCCATGTACATATCCCCTGTCCTAATGCGGTGCATATCCCAGCCACCTACATCCAAATGTCATTATGCAAAACATTTTCTTCTCACCCGCCTTCCCCCATATCTCCATCCTTGTAGACATCACTACAACCTATTGTAATACAAAATGACTATATACCCAAGGAACATATGCTTTAACAAAAACTTTTTCTTATTAAGTAAACCATTTAGAAGAAATTAAAAGGATATTCAGCTCAAGGTTTTAGAATGGCACCCTAAGTACTAATCGTAAAATTAAAAATGACAGTTGGTTAGGGAGGGGGACAGCACTTTCTTGTTATTTATGATAATTGTGCACTTTGAGAAATGCGTATGTCATTACGCCACTGATTTCTGCTGTTCATATTTGCACTCTATAAATATATGCTGATTGGTTGAATCTTATTCAAAGAAAAAAATAAATAGTAATATACAGATATTACACTAAGTATTAAAGAAGATTTTAAATTAATTTAAATCACAAATTGTGAACTGTTTTTAATTTTCCAGCCTGGTTCACAGACATTGGACCCGATTCCTATAGGCCAAGCTTCTGATACCGAGAAGGGAGATTTATCAAGAAAACCACCAGTTGCCAAAGTAATGGCATCAACATCTCAGCCAAAGAACAATCTAAATGAGGAACGTCCACTCAGGGGTGTCAAAAAGTAAGACTATATTGTTGCCAATCTCACTGTATTCATATTTCTTTCTGATTCAACCATTAGCAGTAAAATATAGTATTATATTCTACACTTTTATAATACCAGTATAAATATTTAAAAATCCATAAATCCTCCTCATTTTCTCAAGCCTTGGTATAAATGCATTGCATACAAAGCTTGTGTAGTTTTTATCTGTGAGAAAATAATATTCATACTTTACAATGAATGCAACATAGTTCAGCAGCTCAACTGACGTTAGACACTGTGTGCGCACTGAGAGATCATCCGTTCAATTTTATTGCTGCTAACCTTGTGTTTTCATCTGCTGAAATACAATTCTTAACCTCCAATAATATTTGTTTTCATTATATTGTTTCCATGGTAGACAACCACAACATGATGTCAATCAGGAAAATCATCAGGACGAAGACCAACCATCTGGAAATGATCGACTGTCAGATAAGAATGCCAGAGAAGCTGCACCAGCTATTGATGCCTTTGGACTAGATTTAGTAAATAATTATTTTTACTATTATAATAATTGTAAAATGTAGCCACATTTTGATTGTAATTTTGATAATTAAAAATTGACAATTTGCATCATCATTATATTTGTTATCTTTATCATCATCATCATCATCATCATCATAATTATTATTAATATCATCTATATTATCACCATCATTATCATCATCATTGATATATCATTTTTTTTATTTTATAATAGTTTGGGCACACAAAACGTTTCAAAACATTACATTAAAAAGCAAACATTGAAAAAAAAGTGAAAAAAAAAGAAAAGACTAGCTGCCATAGCCCAGGAGAGACCAAATAGCGCTTCCTAATAGTAAAGGCCTTCCTAAATCATCATTACTATCATCATCATTATCTTCAACATAATAATCATTGCTGTCATCATCATTGTTACCATCATCAATGACAATACTACCTCTATTATTATTGTTATCAGTGCATCATCATCCTCATCATCATCATCATATCGTTATTACATATATCATCATCATTATCACCATCATTATCATTATCATTTCTCTTACCATCATTTGAACATCTTGATCACTTCCGTTTTTTACATTCTATTTCACATGATGAAGTGTAAAGTCAACCATAATTTTGTCTTAATTCAGGTCACAAAACTTTACTCAAAGACCTGGTCTTATCGAGAAGAAGCATTGCTGATGGTGAAGAGTAAACTAGAGGATGTTGAAGAGGGAACGGACAAGGAGGAGCTCAGGCCCCTCTTGAGGGCGGCTACATTTGTGGTATCCAAAGGTCTGAGGGACAAAGTATTTGGAGTGAGTAAATAAATCATCCGTTGCTGATTGATGATTTCTATACTAAATTAAGATTCACTTAAGGATTAGTGCCCTTACAGTAGTTACATACTTTTCTATATACAGTATTACCCTTGTTATATTTCTTGTATATCATGTTCCGATGGGAAGAAGAGAACCCTCCTCTCACCACCTTCCAACTTAATATTAAAACAATAATAGAAGTTTTTATACCATTATCAGATATTCAACACTGCAACTGGTGTTTTACACTACATCCTGGATGTCTGGGTTGTAAGGCATAAATTAGGAAAGGTTGACACAGCTACTGTTGTTGACAAGTCGTTACCAGAGCTGTTAAATAGAACAGCCGACACAGTGAGTATTGCCAAATTTAATTTCTTTTTGGGATTTGAAAGTAAAGCACCTTTTAACCACAAAACTATACTGTCACCATACAGTAGGTGTAGCTTGGCGTAACGTTTATGTTTAGCATTTACCAGTACAGTAGTATGTTTAGCAATTTACCGAAGTGCAGTAGCATTTCCCAAGTACGAACCTCCCATTTACGAACTCTTGATTGTACGAACCCAATTTGCAGCGATGAGGTTATTACAAACGATCATTTTTAACTACAAAAACACTTTATAAAAACTAAGAAAGAAAACATTAAACCAATAAAATGACATAATACCAAGTTTTTAAGCAAGAAATATCAATCGTTTTCAGCTGAGATATGGGCACATAGAAACAGTTTTTAGATTATCACTCTTTTTTTAAAAAAATAGTGATGAGGGTGGGCGTTTTTTTTTTTTTTTTTTTTAATCAGAACAATAGAATATTGCTTTTTTTTATTCATGAGGGAGGAACTGTTTTTATTTGGCAAGAATATTGTAAATATTGTATAAAAACTGGTTTGATTTTATTGTTTTTTAAAGAAAATGTATTTCCAGCCACAAAATTGCATCATTTTTTAAGCTGTTAAAATAAATATTGCGGCAAAAAATGTTTTTATTTTTATTCCCGCATCAATATTTCCCAAATTTTTTATGCAGGCGGAAGTGATAATGTAACAAATTTTTCTGTTTGCCTTATACTACATTTGAGCTGTGCATTCTTGTTGAGGCACTCTCTACAGTAAATCTCACTTTTTGTTGTGCTATTCGCATGGATTCGTGATCTTTATGAAGAGAATAATTACACTCTTTTTGGCCATTATGGTCATGTTTTTATTCGGAAATCACTTCAAATGAATACTTCAGCTTGGGAAGGCTTTCACCCAGCAATGAGCAGACAATGGCTGAAATGCTGATGATAATTTATAAAAAAAAGAAGACCTTTTGTATTTTATATCTTTGATATTTAACCCCAGAATGCAAGACTAAAAAACTTCAGCCAGGACTTTATACTTGAGATGGCAGGTTACAAGGAAGTACGCATCCTTCACAATGTCCCTCAACATTGCTTGGTTCCATTCAAGACATCAATTCAGGCCAGAAGTGCCGTAACCAGAGTTGACATCGTTCAGCGACTCTTAGCACTTCTAGGGATTGAAAAGAATAGGTGAGTATGTAGTCATTTATATCTCTGAGAGGTTTTAGAGAATTACATTTAAGAATTAACAATTTAAACTCAAACTAAATTTAGTGTGTATACTTTTAGTGATAATGTAGATAGTTTCTCTCTAAGCTGATAAGAAAGTCTTAGCAACACCTAATACCAAAACTTCCACCACATGGAATCATCCTTGCAAAATACATCCAGACAACTATACTAAACAATTTAACAAATCTGTCTATACTCTAAAAGTGCTGTCATAATATATATGTCACAAGTCTATATACTGTAGTGTAGTGTTCAAATTATTATTGTTAATAGGTGTTATTAATATTATGTAAGGTCACATCAGTGTATTTTTCATTTGTTTAACTAGTGGGATGTCTGTAGATAATGTGATGACATTTGCGCTAAGAGCTCTTGAACATACAGCTGGTGAAGTCCGTGAAGCTGCCATCAAATTGATCACAGACCTCTACCAGATGAAAGGAGCAGAGATCAAAGAGCTCCTGCCATCAGAAGATGATCCAACAATTATTAAGAACCCACTCTATGCTAAACTCTTTGATGCCCTTGACAAGATCGATGGCAAGCCAACCCGTAGTGAAAGAAAGGTGAGCATGTAAAAACACTACGAATTACGCACCCTCTCTTTTTATTACATTTAAAAATTTCCATTTATAGGGAACTACTGTACCTCAATGTATCACGTATGACACCACTCCGTTTAATTCTGAGAGCAGAGCTAGCCGTCACTTTTGTTTCAAGATAGTAATTTTTAAATTTTGCCTCCCTAGGCCGAGGCTAAGAAGGAAAGAGAAGAACAGGCTAGGAAGAAGCAAGCAGAGATTGATGCTTTACAGCAACAACTAGCTGACCTGAGAGCAGTTGCAAAGGTAGGTCTAGCTAAAGTTTTGCATACAAACTATAAGTAATTATATTTTAATAATTTATTTTCTCAATGATCAAGCTTTTGTTATTGAGCAAGTCAGGCAGAGCCTAATAAGCATTTTAATAGGTCGTTACTATTACCCCACATTGTAAGAACAGATATTTTGACACACTCCACTGATATCATTGTGTAAACTGCAATCTATCAAAATGTGGTGAACATACTGTACAGTGTACATGCTAATTTGTTATTATAGTACAGTATGACATTCCTATAGTGCTCATTATAAATGTTTGATTATTGTTAATGTTATCATGAAGCTCTGGCTATAATATTGTCTTATTGCATCTTTTATTCTACAATTGGAAACCTAATACAACATATTTATCTATTAGGCCCAGGGCAGTAAAAAACAACCAGAGAAGCATCCCCCAACAGATGATGAGGAGGATGATGATCAACCAAACGATAATCATCTCACCAAGAGAACCAAAGCAGCAAGTGTTGCAGATGGGTCCGAGTTTGGCGACCCAGATAAACAGTGTGTATTCTGCCTGGAGAGAAATGAAGATTTCGATAAGGAAGGCTTGGACTTGCACTACTGGAAGTACTGCCCTATGTTGAAACGATGTCAGCATTGTAAACAGGTACAATATTATAGATGAAGATGACATTGATAATGAAGAAGCTGATGATGTTGACATTGATTTTGATGATGATGATATTCTGATATTGATGATAGTGACAGTGATGGGAATAAGGATTTCATTTTATTTCTTTAGGCACGAGCGCCAAGGATATGTCAATAAGTGAATATAATCACTGTCCTACGTGGCATATCCATTTTACAACAGGGGACTTAATGGACCAGTACACCAGGGTAACCCTCTACTCTTCTCGAATGATGTACAGGGTTCTTTAAAGTGCACACGAGCCAAATGTGTACACTGGGCCTACGGTTTAAAGTCCCTATCCGAGAAGACTTGTTTCACCACCGGAACCATTGGCGAGTGAGCCGTTTGAACCAGCACCAATATTAGAGCTGAAGGTTACGGTGCCCCTGACTTAACCGCTCGGCCAATTAACCCGCCTGTATGATGACAGTGAGGATAATGATAGTATAACGATGATAATTATGTTGAGGAGGAAGTGGAGAATGGTGATGATAATGATAAATAATTATGATAAAAATGATTGAGGTAGGATCATTAAACTCCCTGTTTCACCTGCATGTGAGCAAACTTATAATTAATTCTTTATTCTTATAACTTATTTTTATAGGTGGTGGAGGTGTCTGTACTTGTTGATCACTTGTTAACTGAATGCGATAGTCGAACAGAATTTGCCAAATGTCCACGATGTAAAGAGGCTCACAAGAAAGATGAGATAGACAAACATGTTACTGAAAAGCTCTGCACATGTAAGAACTACATTAGGGCACATAAATATCATACTTCTCTCTATGAGACAGTATTTGATCAGACATTGTCTGTGATGATGTAGGACTGATTGATATTTAGTTAGATCAAGTTGACACAAAGTTTGAACAAACTGTGTTAAGTCTGACAGACAGAAATGAGATAGTATAATATCTGTCTTACAGATAGTCCCCAATCTTGTCTTGTGTTGATAAATTTGAGCCACCTTAAATTATATAAAATCTTAATATTATTTCAAGAAATGCAATGCCATAATGAATGTTTATGCAGTAATCAGTAGGCTATTTAAAAAAAACATATATTGTCTCTAGAAAAATCTTCTTTGGAGTGTTTTTTATGTATACTTACTGGATAAACCTACTACTACTACTGTTCTTTAATTAGAACATCCCAACAAAAATAAAAGATTACAACCACATTCATTTATCTAGTTCTCTCTGTCCATTAATTAACATGGTTGTTTTTTTTTTTTAAGTGGCTAAATCTAACATGGCACGCTGCCCTCTATGTCACAAAAACATTGCACAGGGTGAGGAGAGTTGGCGAAATCATTTGATGAAGAAAGGGAATTGTATAGCTAATCATCGTAATGTTGCACCCAAGCAAGAAAATGGTACAGTATTCAATATCATGCAGTATGAAATATTTGAAAAATTTTTTATTATTATATTATTAATGTAATATTCATTTTTACTTTTAAATTCATTTCGATATTCATGTCATTGTTATTATTATTAATATTATTATTATTATTATTATTATTATTATTATTATTATATATTATTATTATTATTATTATTATTATTATTATTATTATTATTATTATTGTTATTATTAGGCCTATCAGTTTTTAATTTCAACCATAATTAATAAAGGTGAATTTTCTTGTGATGATGTGTGACCCTTAAAATAAGAAACCATAAATATGCCCTCTATGGGTCAACCATTATTATTATAAAAGAATCACAGATATTAGTATATGTTTTACTTCGTTTGTTAATTAGGCAAAGCTGGAAATAGGAAGCCTGCACCAAAACAAAACAAGACAAAAGCAGGAAAGAAAGCACCACAAGCAAAAGCTCGAACTCCAAGGGGAAAGTGAGGTGGCACCTCTACAGTGGTGTACAATATTGTGGAACTATCAGGAGCACATTTGTGCCCTTGAAGGAACATACGTGTGCTCTTGTTATATTTATTAGGTCAAAACATACAGGTAGAAGGAATAGGTTTCCTACATGCACCTAAACATCTTTTAAAAGAGGAATATTTTAAATGTGTCTTTGATCATAATATATAATAGCAATTATGTATATCTTAAAAGTAGATATTTGTACATGTACTTAAAAAAGGGACCAACTTATTCCCTTTAAAAAAAAAAATCAGTTTTGAGCATATTCTACTTTTAACTATGTATTGTATGTATCTATGCCTTTGTAACATTGAATTTATCTCTACCTCTTTTGAATTGGGTATATTTTTACCTAATGGCTATTAGAGACATACTTGCTTTATGGCTTTCAATATTGCATACGTTTTGGAATAGAATTTTTATTTATAGTATATTTTATTTATAGCCTATTTGTACCAATATGCTACTTTAAAAGGGCATATTTGTTTTAAAAAAGCCAAATTAATGCATATTACGCCCCTTGAAAGAGACAATAATATTTGTGAAATACTCCTTAAAAAGCCCTTATTTGTACCTACTCCCCCCAAAAAAGTTACATTTATTTTTAACATCTCATTAAATTTTTAGAATGCATCAAAATTTGTACTTATATAATGTATACATTTTTTTACATATGTAATATTGGTAGTACAGTACTCTATCAAATAAACCGTCCTAAAATACTCTTCAAATATATTTCATTGTTTTCATAAAACATTTCTTATCTTTTTTAAGTTGTAAATTTTGTCTAATACTGTACAGTAGGTAAAAAAAATAATACTTTATAGTCATAAAATCAAATACAAGAGCTAAAATGAAATTGCAGTGAATATATAATTCATAGGAGAGAACACACTTATTAATATCATCCTGTAAATGCAATAGAACTTGCAGCAGTGGTTCATCCAAGAAAGTGAACAAAATTGTGAATGATAATTTTAGATGTACAGGTGTTGTTTAAAAATATACTGAAACTTCTTTAATTGTTAAACTAATTACTCCATACCGTAAAACCTTGAATTGAAGCTCAATGGGCTTAATCTCGAGAAGAAGCCCATCTCGAATTGAACCCACCCTCTTTAGTTTGCAAAATTAGACTCAAAAAGAAGCAAGCCATCTCGAAAAGAAACCCCTTTCAAGATAGCATACACTTCTGTTCGAAATAGTACAATAACTGTACATGAATTTCAAAAAACAAAATAAATTAAAAACAAGCTTGGTTTATACAGTAGTTTAGGTGATTTAATGCCAGTTAATACACTCCGTGATACAGATTGATCTTACAGTGGCCTTATTTAATGTTTTATAGTACAAATTCCCAAAATTTACAGCATTCATTTTGAAAAGAAGCCCCCTCTTTACTTTGTAGCCTCGAAAAGAAGCCAATCCTTAATTCGAGGTTTACGGTATGGTAACTAGCAAATATAGCCTGGCCCCTCAGCAGTGGCATATATAGGAATATTTACACAGTGTGCAAGGGTTAAGTCAGAGAGTGTGAAGGTTAAGTGATGTAGCTGGGGAAATGAGGTGATTGTGAACTTGACTGTTGTGAGGGAAAGAAACTTTTACCAGGAAGAGATATGCTACTGCACCTGGGAACTAAAGCGGGCACACTGAAGTGCTAAACCAATGTACAGTTGGTGTGAATGAAGCACTAATATAATAATAATATTTATTCGGAAATCGCTTTTGAAACAGCGGCACCCATCATTTTGATTGTGTATCCAAACACAAATATAAACAACATCAAAAGGCATAGGCCTAGACGTAGTACAATGTAAAGAAAAGGAACCATGTACTGTATTCTTTAATATGCACATGGACTAGGTATAGCATACAGGACTAACATCTTAAACATCAGTTCAGAATAGTTACAACTAGACCAACAGCTGTACATTTTGTTGTCTTTATATTGCTGTTTATATTATCTCAATGTATGTAATGACCTCTTATATCATACAAGAAATAATGTTACTGTTTCGTTGCATAGGAAAAAATATTTTAATTTAATTGTCTGTAGCTTAAGTGTATTTATCCGTCCATTCTCTCAGAGATAGTCATATTTTTACGTACAGTACATGCATTCCAAGTTGACAAAAGTTCTACTAATAAAAAGTATGGTAGTTATTTAAATGTAGATCAGGGAACAGTAATTTCACTGTTCCCTGATGCAGATACAATTATTTCATCTGGGTATCTGGTCAGATATCATTAGCTGTTGAGTGTAGTTGTCACTGCAGCCACTGCATGATTGTAAAATGCAGCTAGCTATCTGACATCATTATCCTAGCAGGACACTTGTGGACTGGGGTCCTGTCTGCTGAGTTGTAAGAGTCGCCGTAAACAGCTGATGATATCAGGCTTTCATTCAGAAGTTACATCCTTAAAATGTTACAAAAACTGCTTTAGTTGAAAAAAATAACCTTTTCCTAAGTTCTGTCAAATATTATGTGACTCAATATTTTGTGATTTGCCCATATATGGGAATGACATCTTCATGCTCATATATAAGCAATTCATAATTGATAATGTGACTTAGAGTTACTGTACTTAATGTTACATGGCCAGTCTTGAGTTAAAAAACTAAAAATAAAATTCAATACAGGTTGATTTGTCTGTTTTTCGATTGTATTGTAAGTTTCTAGAAAATATTTTTTTTGTTAACAAGCATAAATAAAAATGCTCCTATATCTTCATGTAGAATAATCCTTGCTGTACTGGTGAACTTTGCAGAATGTCAACCAACTGACAATTTAAATGAGGGCGTGCCATTTAATAGGAAGGCCGAATAAACGCGCATGTCCCACGTTCTGTGACAGTGCTTAGCAAAATTGTCAGTTGTACTTTTGTTGCTGAATCAATTCAAAATTTTATTTTTTAATCATCAATATTATAATGCACACACAATGTTAGGACTTCTGTAATGTTTAAAAATAATGAATTGAATACATATGATCAAATAATTTAAAAATTTACATTCTTTGAATATGATTGAAAATTTGATGATCACCTCGGTAACAAATTTCATGGTACTGTATTATAAACTATAACTACACGTAATATAATTATTTTAAATAATCAAACCAAATGAATGATAAGTACAACCCTAGTGATTATAGATAATAAAATACTTGTGTTTGATTAAATTGAACATTTAGAAGATGGGAGAGTAAAAAAGAACAGTTTTTGAAAAGTGTGTTATCTAGTCTTTTAGCTGTATACTTGCTGTATACTTGTCGGATTTTTGTGTTCCCTTCGGTATTTGAAAGGCAATTCTTTTCTGATTGCTTTAATATTGTTTCAATTGTATTGCTTGAAAAAAGTCACCGTTATTTTTCACATTTCGATTGGTGCTATGCTGACCACTGCATTTTTACCTCTTTTTAGCGACTTCGTTGGATTTTGCCATTTGGCTGTTCACCAATCAAATATCTTGTTCCCCCCAGTAAAATGAAACCTGAATATTCATAGATTCTAATCATAAAATATATTCCCGTTGGATGAAAAAATTCAATAACACATTCAATAATGTGTAGGCATTATGCCCGCGAAAATGCTTTGGTATAGCCTTCCGCCCATTGTTAATTATCTGCGTTGTTCATGGAGTTATAATTTCTCGAAATAACTCCATGTACTGCTGTTGTACTTTTTGTCTTAAATTGGCCAATTTCCTTTAGGTATTTCATTTTCACCTTCTACATAATCATTAAGTAATATGTTGTCAACATTTACTGAGTGTTATTGTTCGATATAATGTAAATTTAAAGGCACACATGGATCTAAAACACACTGTTATAGGTTTCTCTGTCAGCGTGGTAAGAAGCAGGAACGTACCATTATTGAGCAGGTCTGGGATAGCCGGATTCAGACTGGCTAGAAAAAGTGCGTCGTAAAATATGAATGACCATTATATCCTAAATTGTAAAATTGTTAAATTAGAACAGTAATACTGTTAATGATAATATTTAAGACTCAAGCAAAGCATAAAAACCAAAGGTAGGCCTATTAATTATCCCTCATAAAATGAGCTAATGACAACACCACGGTTGAAAAAATGGCTCCTCTGCCGGGAAGTAGCACCATGCATACTTTACAAAAGAAAATGAATGTCCCTCACTTTAAAAGGGTGATAAATGTTTACATCTCCCTGGTAATATTATTGACATCATCATCATCATCAACATTTGATCACCATCTGATCATCATCATCATCATCATCATAACCACCACCATTATTATTATTATTGTTATTATTATTATTATTATTATTACTATTATTATTGCTGTTATTGTTATTTTGTTATTATTATTGTTATTATTATTATTATTATAATCATCACCCATCGCCATAAAGGAATGGCGCATTAGAATAATTAATTGATTTTTTTTTATACCAATCCAGGTGGCGTTTTACATATAAACATTACTCAATGGACTACGAAGGATACTTTATACAAAATTAAAGACAAATGTAAGTACAGTATTGAACATTTTGCATTGTTAATTCATAGTTAAATGCGAATTCTGTCATTATTCCATGGTTATTATTTTGACTACGTTTGTTAGGCAGCCGCATTGAAGGCATAGACAGTTTCCTGGACAGAAGTATGCACTGACATGCTGCATTTTATTCCAAAATACATTCCATTGGTGACTCGGTAAAACCAAAGATAATAGAAATACAACAACAAGATGGAGCACTCGCATAGCAAATATAAGGCGGAAATTGGTCCAGACGTACGCGGCGCCCTTCTCTTTATAACGCAAGCGCCCTTTTGTTGCTAAGTATATCCAGGGAGTCTAATAACAACTCCCTGGTATATCCACACGGTGCCCTTCTTTTTCCATTAATGGAGGAAAACGTTATCACTAATCAGAGTCCAGTCATACGATGTCCGTCATTTTATTGTTTTGATTTATTTAATGCCTACTTGTATCTTATGGATAATGGCAACAATTTCTACCTCTGCAAAAGGAGGTTATGTATTCACCGTTGCGTAACGCTGACATAAGTTTTTTTTTTAGATCCAGCCCCATTGTTTGTATTCCCACATTGCATTTCAGTGTAACGTTTTTTTTCTGTGTGTTTTGGTAAAACCACCAAAGACCTAAAACTGGCTAAAAAACGTTACCGTATTTACAGCATGGAAAAGGGCTTGTTAACTTTCGTTCGTTGTTTATATTATAGATTCGTATTCATTTTTTTTCATTGACAATATAAGCCTATGCAATTTATTACCAAGAGCCTATATTATTATCCGGTAGGCCCTACACAACTTTTAATCCTGAATCGAAATTGGTTATAGCTCTACAAAAATATTTTCTATATTATTTTTAAAGGACAGCAAAAGTGATCGGAGTAGGCCCAAATGACACCGTCTTTATGAATATTGATATTAATATCTTCATGTACTTCAATGATGTCTATCAAATAAGCTACTACTGTAGTGACGGATCCAAAAATTCGAAATAGAGGGGATCCAGGGGGACTTTCACATATGGATTTATGATTGTGTCACCTCAATGGTCCATGCTCTAGATGGCCGGAAACGATTTAAATATGAATTTTAAAAAATTTTTTCTCCATTTTCGAGTTAATTTTTGAATAATTTAGGCGGTGGCCGGTTGCACACTTCCCCTTTTCGAATATACAGAGCAGTGAGCATTTTATATAGGACTGTTAATAATAATAATAACAATAGTTCTAATTATAATAATAATAGGCATAATAATGATAATAGGCCTAATAATAACAATAACAATAATAATAATAATGATAATAATAATAATGATAATGATAATGATAATAATAATGATAATAATGATAAAGAAAATTTATAAAGTGCCGGTATCACTCATGGCGCCCCTCCAATAGAAAGTCGAAATGTGAAATACATTTACATTTACAATATTTGAAATACAGATGCATTTTTAAAACCAGACGTGAGCCGTACATGGCTGAGCGTCTCTCTCTCTTTCTATGTGGCCATGTGTGCACGGATATTTATTTATTTATTTATTTATTACCAATTCGACATATAGATGAATAATATGCAATGGATGAAATTACGGTACTTGGAAAGTGCCTAGAGCAAGACATGGGCAAGGCCCAACAACAAAGGTGGTCCACTGATCATATGATAATATGTAATTCATACATGAAATAAAAACAATACAAAAAAGCCTGAATTTGAAAATAATGTTAGCAAGAGGGCTCCCAGTTTTCAATAAAAGATAAGGCAGCAGACCATTTAACAGAAAATAGCGCTAGGAGTACCGTAAGTTTTTTCGACAATCTAGCTGTTTAATGAAAACCGATTTTTGAAAATCATGTAGTCCTAACAGTCCTTGCTTAGAGGGATCTATGGGATTTAAAAATAAGGATAAGCCACACTTGTAGGGGAATTAGAGGAGAAATACACGGATAACATTTCTTCTGACCTCCAAAGGGAATAAATTAAATATCCTCAGAATGTCCTTATAATACTCCGCATAAGTTGGTATGTTGGGGCCAGATTATATCTAACTAGAAATCGGCTTAAAATTGTCCATTTTTTTTTCTTTTGCTTAATTCATTTCTATCAATATTGCTTAGCTCTTGCTAAAAATTAAAAAATCGACTGTAGGCACCTGCCATCTAAGACAATTTTTAAGCTAAGATTTTGCTAAGATGGTTTGATAAATCAGCTTAAGATATTTGCTTTAGGGACATCTTTACTTTTTTGACTTAAGAAATTTGCTAAGCTGAGATAGATATCCCGGGTCTGGGCCCCGGTAGCACATGTTGCTGTAGACTAAACATTATTCTTAACTTAAAACGGAACTAGCCTTGCTCATGTTGTCCGGGTTACCATAACTTATAAACTAAAATCAACTCCCTTGTCTGACTCCACGACATTAATTTGCCGATCCAAACAATTATATTTTGATAGTCAATCCAATTTTGGTCAAAGCATGGGCGATCCTGTACCGTAAGATTTCTCCCCATGAACCTCACCACATGGATTTTATTCCGGGACCCTGAACAAGGCTCAGGAATTTACTTGTTTTAGACCCCGATCAGAATTGTTGGAACCCCTATCGACATTTTCCCATTTTTCCTGATTTTACGAACATTCTACTACAAAATCCTTAAATTGGCACTACCAGCCAATTTAAGAGTCTATGTATAATTAAGAATATAGCACTGGTACAATTTAACTGTCTGTTAATTGACAGGTAAACAATTTTGTCATTCATATATTTAATTGTAAGTTTGTAACTTACTTAAATATTATTCAGTTATGGAATTAATTGTTTATCTTTCAGCTCAAGACAGACAGTGTATATTTAAATTGGACCTCATTGGAAATGGGCTAGACTCCGGCCTAATGGGCGTTCGGTTCCTGATGCTCATTACGGTAATTTTTACTTTTCTTCATCTCAATCCATTTGTTATCTTGCTTATGCATGTTGAGCATCGAATAAATTCAATCAATCAATCAATCATAAAATATTATATCATGAAAAATGTTTGTATGAAGATTATATGTTATAATTATGTTTATTGTTTGAATATACTGTATTTATGAATCTATATACTGTATTCATTTCTATCGAATAGTACACTTTTTATAAATTGTATTTACCAATGACAATCGGAATGCTAACATAATTTGTTTGCGCTATTGCGATCCACTAGTCCTACCCAATGCCTGTATTTAATAACCTCACATCATTTCGTGGTATGATGATACTATAAATAATTAATATTTAATGCTGATAATGATAAGAATTGTGAAGTACTATATGCGGTAACTCAATACGATAATGTTCAGTTGGGGTGCTCCCCTGTGGGAGGGGGAGGGCAACCGACCTACCCCCCCCCCTAAATCTTTTGAAATAGTCAAAAATTGAGAAAAAAAGAAAATTACATTCAAATTTAAAATCTAAAAGTGTATTTTCTATCCATCTAGAGGTGCCATAATTGAAATTTTCTTACCTCAACCCCAACCCTGGTGGGGCTGAGGTGGTGGGAACCCTTCATCTGGCAAAGTCCCTCCCCGTGGGCCCCCTTTATTTCAAACCTACTGGCTCTGCCTCTGTTTTTATTTTTATATATTATGTTTTGATGATACTCCGTACGGTAATTCTTTCTTTGTTTCCTAATCTGTTCTCAATTAATCTTTATATTATGTTTTGATGATTCTCCGT